GCTTCAGTTGGAAATGTGCGCAGATGCCCTGCCCATCGCTGTGTCTCCCCTTCATCCTCCCTCCTCCCTCCTCCCTCCCCCCTCCCCCCTCCCCCCGCGGTCCGTTGCAATCTTGGGTCAAAATCCGTTGGTGGTTCAAGTTAATTTGGTAGCGGAGATCGCCTGTCGATGGCGGAACAGCGGCACGCGCTTCGACGTTGTGATCGTCGTGATTTAAATTCATGACGCGAGAGGCCGTCCTGAAACAAATCATGACCGCAGGAGGTCTGGGTAAGGTCCGCGCGCTGGCACGCCCGTTTGGCCCGTCGTCGCCGTCGTCGCCCTCGCAGTCGTCGTCGGTGCCCGCGTCCACGTAGCTTTCGTCCAGCTCATCGTCGACATCGCCTTCGCCGTTGTTGTCGTCGTCGCCGCCCTCGTCGTCGCTGTCGTCGCCGACGTGGTGGTGGTGGTGGTGGTTGTCGTCGTCGTCCTCCGTCGTCGTCGTCGTCGTCGTCGTCCCTCGCAATCGTCGCCGTCGTCGTCGTCCTCGTCGTTGTCGTCGTCGTCCTCGCCGTGGTCGTCCTCCTCCTCGCCGTGGTCGCCGTCCTCGTCGAATTCGTCGCCCCTGTCTTTGTCGGCGTTGCCGCGTCGTCGTCGTCGTTGTTGTCGTCGTCGGTGTCGCCGGTGCCCCTATGGATGTCCAGCTGGATGCATAACGCACTACTTATAGCAATGCCCCATTCAGCCCAGCTCACCCGCCCGTTAAGGCCCGCCCGCCCGACCCGCCTGGTCGGGTCTGCCCGCCCGACCCGCCCAGAGCGGTCCGCCCGCCCGGCCCGCCCGTATGGGTCGTCGTCGCCGTCGTCGTTCCCGTCGTCTTCGGTGTCGTCGTCGTCATCGTCGTCGTCATCGTCGTCGTCGTAGTTTTGGTCGTCGTCCGCGTCTTCCTCGTCGTCGTAGTCGGCCGCGTCGTCGTCGTCGTCGGTGTCGACGTCGTGGGGGGGCGGGCCGGCCTGCGTATTTCGGGGACTCGACCATGTGATTCGGTGCCCCGTGGCGTGATTGTGTCGTGGCACCTCCCCCCTGACTTTGCCATTAAAAAATGCGCACCCCCCTTCCCCTCTCCTCGCTCACCCTCTTTCCGCCTGGACACGTCCAAGGCCGCCGCCGCGGTGCCGCGCCGCGGGGCCTCGAGGCGCGCGGTGGGCATGGGGCGCTGCCCGCCCTCCGGGGTGTCGGGCTGGGCCCGTAACCCGTAACCATCGCCCCCGAGGGCCCGCGGTCGTGGCTCCGCGGGTCGGGGGAGGAGGATGTCTCTGGGCGGCGTGTGCGTCAGGGCCAAGGGGAAGTCAGGGGGTGCGCCGTCAGGTGGACCCCCCCTCCACTGCGCCCCCCGCGGCTGGCGTGGTCGTCGTCGTTTTCGTCTTGGCCGTCGTCGTTCTCCTCGTTTTCGTCGTGCTCGTCATCGCTGGCGCCGTCGTCGTCGTCGTCGTCGTCGTCGTCGTCGTCGTCGTTGTGTTCGCCGCCGTTGTCGTCGCCGCCGCCGTCGTCGTCGTCGTCGTCGCCCTCGATGTCGTCGCCGCCCTCGTGGATGTCCTGTTGGATGGATTGCGTTCTGCTCCAATGTCCTGCTTGGCCCGACCTGCGTGCCCGCGAGGGCCCGCCCGCCCGGCCCGAGTGTTTTCATTTTCCCAGTAAGTCTGATTACCTCCATCGTGTTCCCCCCGGACCAAAAGACCCCCCCCAGACCCCAGACCACCATGCCGCCCCCAAGACCCAGGGTTCCCCCCCGACTACAAGTTCTCTCCTCCGACTACAAGATCCACCCTCTGGATTACAAGGGTGCCCCTCCCCAGGCCCAGAGGGCCTTTTTTACGTACGCCATGCAGCTTCGCCGGGAAAGCAGGACCCTCCCTTGACTACAACGCCCCCCCCCCCACAGACTACAAGGGCCCCCTTCCCGGATTACGTTGCCCCCCCCCCCCCCAGACAACAGGGGCTTATTACGTGCGCCACTGCATCTGTCCCTGGGATAACACGACCCCGCCTGATTACATGCCCCCCCCCGGACTGCAAGGGCCCCCTCCCGGTTTACAAGGCCCCCCCCCCAGACTACAGGGCCCCCCCTCGGACAGCGAGGCCCCCCTCCCTCCGACTTGAAGGGTCCATCCATGCAGATCAATGATCCCCCCCGGGAAAACGCAACGCTTCCCCGGATTACAAGGCGCCCCCCCAGACTACAAGGGCGCGCCCCCTCTCCCGATTGCAAGGGCCCCTCCACATAGAGGACCAACGCATCCTTTCCCTGGACCCCTCCCCGGACTACAAAGGCAACGCCCCGGACCTCAAGGGCCTCCCCCCCGGACTGCAAGGGTACCCCCCTCATAGGTCAATGCAATCACCCGGAGAGAATTGCCCCTCTCTGGATTACGGCACCACCGCACCGGACAACGAGCCCCCCCCCCGAAGTACCGGGCGCGCCCAAGCATTTTGTTATATTTCACATAGTTTCATACGTTTTATTTTTATGAAAACGTGATTTCTATTTTTCTATATTAATTGGAAAGTGTGTTTTCTATTTTTTCGATATTAATAGGAAAACGTGATTTCTATTTTTCCCTATTAATAGGAAATTAACTGCTGCGGCCTTGTCATTCGATTCCGGGATTACAACACCAGACCCATCCTGGAGTGCATCCTGACCAAAATTTCGAGGCGAATCCGTCCGCGGCGACGAAGACTCTCCAGGGCGATCGGCGGTATCGTACTCTGTTCCTCCTCTGACTCCCAGTCCTCGTCGTTCTGTGTGGTAGTCCTCGGACGGGGCTAGGACGGGGCTAGGTGCCAGAGCGTTCCGGAACGCTCTCTGAGCGGCCTGGAATGCTCTGAGAAGGCCGCGGCGCCCGAGACATCCTCCAGGTCCGCCAGGTTTCAGAGATTCTCGAATTATCCCAACCCGATTTCTATCCTCGTCCCGGCTTCGTCGTAAGTCCTCGCCATCCGTTCGGCCAGCTGGGCATGGGTGACGTCATCGACGTCTACCCCTACGAGGGCAAGATCACGGCGCACGGCACCGACACGGCGGGGCCCGGCTGGGGCGGTGGGCGGCCTGTGTTCACGCAGTCGACCGCGCTGGCACCAGGAGGCGGGGGAGGAGGAGGAGGAGGAGGAGGAGGAGGAGGAGGAGGAGGAGGAGGAGGAGGAGGAGGAGGAGGCAGGGGAGGAGGAGGAGGAGGAGGAGGAGGAGGAGGAGGAGGAGGAGGAGGAGGAGGAGGAGGAGCCGTTACCCGACTCGGGGGCGTGGCCCCCCCCTGGCCCTCGACACAGGGGCGGGGGGTCTCGCAGCGGGCGACGGGGTCAGCGTGCTAGCCTCCGCTGGGGAGGTAAGCCGCGATGGCGGGCGCGATGTCGGCTGCGGGCAATGTCTATATCCGTAAGGGCCTGGCCCCCTGCCGCCGGCCCCCTCTCTTAGAATGGGACTTGCCAGAGCTGTGTTGGGATGTCTGGACGCTGACGTGAACCAGTGTCATGTCGGGACTTCGCGCGAGGGCCAACATCTCATTGTACGGCTTGCACTGCAAACCTGAAGAACTACGTTCGAACTCTGACAGTTCGCATGACGAAACTGCTGACGATCGTGATCGCAAACGATCGTGGTCGCAAACGAGGGCTTGTGGCCTCGGGGGCGCAAGCATTGCGTAATCTACAACTGATTATGGATCGGAGGCGCAAATATTGTGTAATATACTAGGGTTTATGGCTTCGGGGACGCGAACATTGCGTAATTGTGAATGCCTTACGGCCGATGCCGCAGACCCTGTATGCAGCGACGACGAAGACAATGGAGGTAGAGGAGTCCAAGATGCCCTCAGATGGCTCGAAGACAGCGCCAGATGCCTGCAAGGTCGTCCGAAGACAGCTCAAGAGGCCTCCACCAGGATTCGGGAACGGCTACAGAGAGCGCCAAGATAGGCAAAGAGCGCTCTCAAGTGGCCCTAGAGGGTTCCAAGACGGCGTCAAGCGAGGTCCAAAAGCGCCCGCAGAGGCTGTCAAGAGTGCCGCCCGAGGCTGCCAAGAGAGTGTAAAAAGTACGAAAGGTCTCCAAGGAGCCTTAAGATAGGCTGAAGGGACGTATCCGAGGGGGGACCCCCCCCCCGGGAGTTGCCCCGGGACCCCCCCCCCCGGCGGGGAAGGGATCAAAGGGCCCGGCGTAATTTACGAGGGCTTATGGCCTCGAGGACGCAACAATCGCATAATTTACTCGGGATTATGGCTTCGCGGACGCGAATATTAGATCATTTAAAGAGTTTCTGGCTTCGGGACGCGAATATTGGGTAATTTACGAGAGTTTATGGTCTCGGGCATCGCGGCTTCGGGGGTTTCGAGCCCACCGCCAGTTGGGCAGCCTCCGCGAGGTGGATTCGCGGCCATGGGGGCTCGAATATTGCGCAATTTTTTCAGGTTTATGGCCTCGGGGACGCGACCGTGGCGTAATTTACAAGGATGCGCGGCCTCGGGGCGCAAATCTGTTGTAACTTGCGCAAGCTTCTGGCGTCGGGGGCGCAAATCTTTCTCGAGGGTTTATGGCCTCGGGGATTCGAGTATCTATTAGTTTACGGGAATGTATGGAGTCGGGACGCAAGCATTTCGTAGGAGGTTTTATGGCCTCAGGGACGCAACTATCGTGAACTTCGAAAGATTGTGGGTTCGGGGGCGCGAGCACGGTATACTCTACGAGGGTGTATGACCTCGGGGACGCAAATTTGGCGTAATCAACTAGGGTGTATGGCCTCGGGAACGCGAAAATCAAACATTCCCCAACCATCCTGTGGTGTTGGGCCTTCGCTTTGCAGAGACAGCGCCCCGCGTCCCTCCTCCTCTCCTCTCATCTCCTCTCCTCTCCTCTCCGCTCCCCCTTCTCCCCCTCCTCCTCCCCTTCCTCCCTCCTCCCATCCGCCTCGTCACCCCCCTGCGCTTCACCAGTCCAGGACAGCGCTTCGTGGCCCCTAGGGAGCTCCACCGAAGGCTCCAGTGGCAGGGCCCGCGTGCGCCAACGCCACCCAAGACAGCGCTTCGTGGCCCCTCCGTAGCCATTTTGGCTCAAGCCATTCAGGCTCAAGCCTCTTAGCGCAAGCATGACATTGTAAGTTGCTGGAGTGCGTGCGAGGGATGCTGGACAAGCCGTATCGTACACGGGGGGATGTTCGTTTTGCTGGCATACCTTTTCTTTGCCAGCGCAACAGGCGCCGCCTTCAGTCAGAAGGAAGCTACGTTCTACATGCATTTGAATGCAATTTCTATGTGCTCGCCGGATCATGTTGCATCGTGGGATTGTGGCATCGATTGCGACGCATCATCAGCGAATATAGTTCATGGCAGTCTCCGCATTCTGGGTCCAAGTACTATCTACCATGCGCGAGGTTTTGTTATACAGCGTCAACGTGCCGAGCCCCAGAGCGCAAAGGAGTGCATTGCAATATTCGCTGGGACTTCGTTTTACGATATCCAAAACATCCGAGCTGACGTGGAGGCGTGGCTCACGCCATGGCCTTCGTGGCAAATCCACACAAGAAACGGCACTCATCAAAGTTCGTGCCCATCATGCAAAGTTCACCATGGATTCGCGTCTGCGTACGGCGAGCTACGAGAGTCTCTGTTCCATCATCTACAGGACTTGCAATGCGGTGCAGTTGCCTTCACGGGACACTCCTTCGGGGCAGCGCTCGCAACGCTGGCATCTTTCGATCTCCGTGCCTGCTGCAGTTTTATGCGGGTGTCTGGTGTATGGACTTTTGCTTCGCCACGCGTTGGCAACTCAGCGTTCGTATCGGCTTACAGCAAGTACTCGATAGAAGAGTTCCCGCCCATGTGGCGCGTTGTGCGCCAGTATGACTTGATTCCGCAGTTGCCGCCGTCGTGGCTCGGCTTCGAACACGCCCCAGTACAGGTGTGCTATTCGACGCCTGTAGCCAATGTTTCAGATGTTCACATTTGCACCGATCCACAAGCTTGCGCCACAAATTCTCATTGCAGATACGCATACGGCTCTATGGCGTATCACCATGGTTACTTCGGAGTTCCTCGCACAGACGAGGATGAGGCGCCAGAGTCGTGCATTCCCATCGGGGAGCTGCAACGGCAACGAGGCAGGAGGTTCCAATTTCTCCTCATTGTAGTCGTGCTATTCATGTGTATTGTTGTCTGCTTGAGTGTTCTATGTGTCTGGTGTTGTCGAGATCCTGATGCGTCTGGATGTCAGGATCAAGGCCGCGAATGGTGTGACAGCAGTGTAACATCTTCAGAAGGCACTGATACGTCTGAGATGCTGACGCTGATGCGAGAAGACAGCGGCTTTTGGCTATGAGCATGAGATGCAGACGACGTCGGGGAAAATTCATGCTCAAAGCCTTCGAACCTACAGTGCATCTGCTGAGGCGAGGCGTCTAGGACAGCTGGGCATACAGAGCACCTGGAGTGGCTTGAGGAATGGGCTCGAACCCCCCCAACAAAAGGATGAGGGCTGACCTCGAGAAAGGGTTGGGCATACTCGGGCTCAGAGGTTTGCATAGCCACCGTCTGCCGGGGTCTCCGAAGGCGGGCTCCCAGGCGGTGGTGACGGACACCTCTCCGCCGCGCACACCGAGGCCGGCGTGAGCTCCTGTCCTCTCGGAGCAGGGCTCGCTGTCGGTGCTGTTGATTTGTGTCTCGCTGCGGAGGCGCAAGCGGTTCGTCGACCACCGTCAGTCGACCCTCCATCTCCTTCTGCGACGCAGCCATGCTGTCGTGCTATGCACTGCTGGAGGGTGGAGTTCTGAATCTTTCAAGGCCCATGCCATTCGTTGCCTCTTGTCATGTTGTGGCTCGGAGGTCGGGGTCACCCATTCGTCCTTGCTTGTGAAAAAAAGACAGCGCTTCGTGGCCCCATAGGGAGCTCCACCGAAGGCGACAGCGGCGCAGTCCGCAGGCGCCAACGCCACCCAGGATAGCGTTTCGTGGCCCCATAGGGAGTTCCACCGAAGGCTCCAGTGGCAGGGCCAGCGTGCGGCAACTTGCCACCCAGGACAGCGCTTCGTGGCCCCACAGGGAGCTCCACCGAAGGCCCCAGCGGCAGGGTCCGCACGCGTCAGCGCCACCCAGGACAGCGCTTTGTGGCCTCATAGGGAGCTCCACCGAAGGCCCCCAGTGGCAGGGCCCGCGTGCGCCAGCGCCACCCAGGACAGCGCTTCGTCGCCCTGTAGGGAGCTCCACCGACAGCTCCAGTCGCAGGGTCCGTATGCGCCAACGCCACCCATGACAGCGCTTTGTGGCCCCATAGGGAGCTCCACCGAAGGCGGCAGTGGCGCAGCTCGCATGCGTCAGCGCCACCCAGGACAGCGCTTCGTGGCCCTCTTGGGAGTTCCACCGAAGGCCCCAATGACGCGGCTCGCACGTGCCAACTTGCCACCCAGAACAGCGCTTCGTGGCCCCGCAGGGAGCTCCATGGAAGGCTCCAGTGGCAGGGCCCGCGCGCGTCAACGCCACCCAGGACAGCGCTTCGTGGCCCCATAGGCCTGCACCGCGTGATTCACGCACGCGAGGACGCCCGCGATGTGCCGGCGTGGGTTCCACGACGAGCGCGCAGGCGCCGCCGCCGGCCGAGCCAGCCGAGGCTCGAGGGCGCGGGCGCGCAACTGCCTTGAGATCGCGGCCTCCTGCGGGGGCCCCAGCCGGAGAAGGCCTTCGGGACGCTTGCGGCACCGACTGCCGAGGCGCGGCGCCGCTGGGCGGAGAAGCATTGCAAAAAAAACCCAAACGAAGGATTGCAAAAAAAAAACCGGGCGAAGGATTGCAAAAAAAAAACCGGGCGAAGGGTTTTTTTGCAATCCTTCGGGCGAAGGTTTTTTTTGCAATCCTTCGGGCTGGAGGCCGGCAGCGACCAGGTCGCGCGCATGGCCCTGAGCACCCGCTCGGCGCCGCCGGGCGGCGAGGGTGCGCGGCCAGCCAGGCGCCAGAGGACGTCCGCGGCGGCGGCAGGCGGGAGCTCGGGCGCCAGCGCCGTTGACGGCGTCCTCATCCTGCCGCCAGTCGAGGCGGTGGCCGCTGCCCACGGCTTCGCCTCGGCCGCGGAGGCGCGTGCCCGCGGGGCGGCGGCGCGCCAGTCCAGTGCGGCCGCAACGGCTACCTTGCGTGTGTAGCGCAGAATTGCATGACTTTGTTTGACCTGGGCATTTTGCCCTCGAAGAGAAAAAATGCCCACGCCGTAGACGACTGTGCCTGCAGCGGTGTTCCTGAAGTTTTGCTGCGATCCTCGCAGGCCGCCGACGGCCCTCTGCCCCCCCCCCGCTCTTGAGCCGCAGCTGCGGGGGGGGCATGGTTTGTTTTTGAATCGGGCGCGGGAGGAGCCAGGGAAAGCAGCGAGCAAGCCGTGATGCTCCCACAGGGCCGGCCTTCCGTGAGATGCGGGTGGGGCGTTGGTGAAGGAATGCGCCCAGGAGGCTGCAGACCCTGGAGGGTCCCTTATCTGGTGTGGGCGGTGGTGATATCCATGGCCAGGCTTCGATCGGAGTTTCACAGACCCTGGACTCCTTATCTAAGGGTTCCTTACCCAATGCCCTCACTGGATTTTGAATCGGGTGCAGGAGTGGTCGGGGAGAGCAGTGAGCAAGCTGCGATGCTTTCACAAAGCTGGCCTTCCGTGCGATGTTCTGCCTGTAGGCGAGGGGGCTCCCCGATACGTTAAAAAAACTCTAGATGGGGGGGCTCCCCGAAACGAAAAAACGCTCCTCGAGGCGAGGGGGGGGAACCCCCTCGCGAGGAAGCGGCGCCCCCCAAATCTGGGACGAAGCGCTGGCCTCGGGGAGGTGCTGTCCACCTTCAAGCTCAAGAGCGACGTGCTCCTCGACGGGGTGCAGGCGGGCGGGCGCGTGCCGCTGATCATCGGCAAGCAGGCGGCTGCTCCTCCTCCTCCTCCTCCTCCTTCTCCTCCTCCTCCTCCTCCTCCTGCTTCCTCCCTCCACGGGGGGGCCCAGCCAGGGCGCTGAGATAACTGCGGTTTTCCACTGCCAGAATATGTTCAGATCCACGGCTTCAGGATCGTGCCCTGGGATCTCGAGAAGTGGGTGGACATCGATATGTTTGCCCGTCCTCTTCGTTGGGCCGCAGGGGCCCGGTACAATGTGAACCTAGCCCCCCGCTCTTTGGGCCGCCATCGGGCTTCGGTTCCCATTTTTATTCCAAACAGTGTATGGGTCCGACGATGAGCAACCTGCATAGAACGTCTTCGTAACAAAACCGATTGGGCTTGCTCCCAACACGACACGAAAGTATTTCCGACCAGCCCAAGCATTGTGCATTCGCGTGAGATTTGTGCCGACCAATATTTCCGGGCCCTGTCGGACGGACCCAAAAGTTGGCATCGCTCTTGAGTTTTTTTGCAAAACAGTTGTTCGGCGGATTTATTTTTCTGTCCCCAGTGGTCTTGGAACGCGAGCCAGATTGGTCAGCGTTCGCGCCCGAGCGCGATTCGCGAACCTCGTGTACGACTTTCTAATGGCAGCGACATTGCAGCCATGCGGCTGCGATGCGTCCGCGCGGAGCCGTGCTTCACAAGACGGACTAAATTTCGGAGCGCCGATGTAGTAGTAGTTGCGCTGATAGTCAGCAGTCTTCTCAGTGAGACTGTTCTTGCCAGTGATACTGCAGCGGCAGTGGCAATGGCAATAGCACTGTCAAACAGAGGAGCAAGAAGAGATTCAGGAACAGGAGCAAGCACGGGATCATGACCAGGAGGAGGAAGAGGAGGAGGAGGGGGGGAGCAACAAGAGAGCGAACCAGAGACTGGAGCAGCCACGGGAGGGACGGGGACAGCGGGAGGATGAGAAATATGAAGGATGCCGATGACGTGATGGGGGGTGAGGTCGATGTGGGGGGAGCGGGAGGAGCAACACCTCCGCGAGACGCAGTAGGCGCATCCCCCCCCCCACGTGCACTTGCCTCTCTGCCTCCCCGCCAGTGCCCTTGCTGCTGTCAGTGTCCCTCCCCCTCCCACAGCCCTGCCCTCCTTCTGCTCGGCCTCGCTCTCCTCCTGGTCTTCGCGCTGTTCCACATGCGTTGACCCTCCGGTCACGGTGCCACGTTGCAGAGGTGGCTGCCACAGGATATGCGCTACACGCAGATCTCCCGCCATTTACCAGGTGACAACATCGAGCACTTATTTCAAGGTTGGAGAGCCCAAGTGCCCCATCATATTCAAAATCGTTATGCCTACCCTTAAGAGCACCAGCACTACACTGCAATCCTGGTCCTCGCGCTCCTCGTCCGCCTCTTCGGCCCTCCTCCGCACTCCCCATCGTTCCCCGCGATCCTCCCGCAGCTCGCCATCCCGTCGCCCACCTCGCCGCTCCAGGCCTATGGTTCGCGCCCCCGCCGCGGTGCATCGCCGTACCCTGAGATCCGACGCCACGAACAAATCCAAGACGAACTCGACTGGAGCCCTGGATCCTATTTTTCTCAACACTTCTCGAGCTGGCAAAGCCTGAATCCGAGCGCCCCGCGTGAAAAAATGGCAACGCTTGGACCTCAGGGGCGTCGTCGTCAGCGTCAGCGTCAGCGTCAGCGTCAGCGTCGTCGTCATCGTCCTCCTCGGCTCCTCGGGGACGACGACTACGATGCCACTGAGGACGACGACGACGACGCCACTGAGGACGACGACGACGACGACGTGTCGTCGACGTCGTCAGGCTCAGGGTCAGCGTCAGCGTTGTCGTCGCGTGGTCGTCGTCGCCGTCGTCGTCGTCGTCGTCGTTGTCGTCGTTGTTGTTGTCGTCCTCTTCCTTGTCGTCATCGCCGTCGTCGTCCCCGGCTCCTCGGGGACGACCGCCCGCCGCGCCGCGCCCGCGCCGTGCCGCCCGCAACCGTCGTCGGTGTCGTCGTCTTCGTCGTCGCCGTCGTCGTGTTCGCCCTCGTCCTCGTCCTCGTCCGCGTCTTCGTCCTCGTCCTCGTCCTCGTCGTCGTCGTCGTCGGGGGCGGGTGCCCGCGCCGCGCCGGCGCGCAACCGCCCCAGATCACGACGTGGGCCCGCGAGACGCTGGGGCTGCCGCCCTCCACCGTCTTCCGCGCCGCGAGCGCAGCGCCGCCCGCGGCGCGCCCCCCCGGCGCTGACGAGGACAGCGACGAGGAAAACGACGACGACGACCACCCCGACCACGACGACGACGACGACGACGACGACGATGACGACGACGACGACGGCGACGGCGACGGCGACGGCGACGGCGACGGCGACGGTGACGGTGACGGCGACGTCAACGGCGACGACGGCGACGACGGCGACGACGACGACGAAAACGACGTGGTCGTTGTTCCGTCGCGCCGCCGCTCGCGGTCACCGCCCAGACATCCGGCGACTGGATTCTTTCAGTCCTGGCGTGTCCTCGGGCCCTGGGGCCAGCAGAAGTGGGGCCGGGGCGGGAAGCTGGCCGTGGGGGCTGGTCATCGGGCCCTGGGCCTCTCAGAAGGGGATCTGCGGTGGAAGCCTGGCCCCGGGGTAGGGGTCGGGATCTCCATGGGGCCAGGCACTGAAAAAGTTCTACCGTCGGGTGTCTGGGACGACGTCCGACCAGCGAGGGTGCTTATTATTATTATTATTATTATGATGATAAGTATTATTAGTATTACTCGTATCACTTTGATTCTTATGAGTATAGTCTTTCTTTTTTATTTGTATTGTTGTCATTATCAGTCGTATTCCTATAACTGTTACTCGTATTATTAAGTGCTATGATTAAGAGCAGTAGTATTATTCTTATAAATCGTTGTTGTATTTCTATTATTGTTGCTGTTGCTATTTTTTTGGGGTGTGAGTATTCGCACTTTGTGTTTTTATAGTTGTGATAAAATTACCACGACTTGTAGCATCAGAATAACAAGATGCATTATCATTCTTAATACTAGTACTAATACTACTGGTCTGTTTATGATAGTGGTTCGCATTCTTATGTGTGCTATGATC